ACGGTCAGTTGTGGTTGTAGTTTCCATTCTCTTGTATTTGTTGTCATATCAAGTCTTCTTGTTTCTGTAGATTTTCTTGTGTGTCTTGTTCCAGTCTTTACTTCCCATCTGTCTGATTATCTTCACCTGTGTGGATCACATGCACCTGTGTCTCTATCGCCTCATATTTCTAATCCATAATTACTCCCCAGAGTATATTCATACGTCTCCCTTTGTCAAATCCTACTATTGATTTCCCTGCTTGTGTTCTGTGTTCCCTGGACTCCTGGTTCATGTAACCTTTTGTGATTCAGCCAAAGACTCATTTGTTTCTGCCCACATGTCCTGGTTTGGGTCCTCTCCACTTCAACCTCACAATGATAAATTATTGTAAAAAAGAGATTTGGTTAAAGACTGAACAGACTGGACTGATCTAAAAGACTCTTCTTCTCTTGGCAGCATGTTCCATGTACATCCTACTCATTTCTAATAATTATCCTATCAAGCTTGTAAAGTGGTGCTTTTCTCTACCCTGCATTAGCGAGCAAACAGAATAACCATGGCTAATATATACTTTTTGGAGTGTCTTACTCTCTGAAGTGGGTAATTTGTAGACAATTACAAAAACATTTCTTTCACATGGTTTTCATTAGCGAGCTTTCTCCTTTTTATAGTTATACACCCTTTAATATCCTCTTTATAAACTAAGCTATTCAGGATACTTGAAATCATTAATACTGATCGAGTTATAAGTAATTTTGACTCACCAGATCCCAGTTTACTAATAAAATGCCAAAAACTACTTAAAAATGTGTCTGTGAAGGTTCTCAGTCATCCAGGTCATAGGCCTTTAAACCTATGAGGAAGTCTCAGATGGACATTGGGAAACCTTAAAGCATCAAATTAAACAGGCTGATTTCATGTTACAGTCAGTTAAATTATATTGTAGGTCCATCAGTAAAGGTCTGTTCAGAGCTTTTCTCCCTTATGACCCTCTAGCAACTATAATTTCTTAGAGAAAGAAAATTATTTCCAACACGAGCCCCGTACCCAAGTGAGAGAAACCATCAGTGATGGCTATGCTTGCTGTTTATGCAGGCGTCTGGTAAATCTGCTGTAAGCACATGTTTTATCAAGGCACCAGCTTTCAGATACTGACGTTTTACTACTCAACACTGTGTGTGCATCAGTTTCTCATTCCATAACTCAGTCTTTCCTTGTCTGTACACCAACAGTGTGCCAGGAACTGAACTGCATTAAAAAAAAAGAAGGGTTTTCCTTTCTGCTTAGCATTTGGCTGACCAATGCAACAATGCAGAGCTCCTCCCTTTTCACTGAGCTTTTGGAAGATGTATTTTACATTGCAAGGTTTGAAAAAGAGGAGAGACCAAGTCTGGAATGAAAACACTGCGGGAAATGTTATCCATCGATGCAGACAGTTGGCCTGCAGCAACATACAACAGCCAGAACTGCCAGAGTAAACGTCTGTTCCAAATTACCAAATACATCAAAGCAGCTCTCTCACTACTTTTACTTACCACTAAACTTAAAAATTGAAGTCTTGCAGAAACACTTCTCTTCTTCTAAAGCAAATTTACATCAGGTAAATATTCAAAGCTCAGGTGTAAAAGTCATTGCAGTAATTTTTCACCTCACTGAAGCTCGTCTGAAGTTCCCCCAAAATAACCCAAAAAGATGATCTTATCTCATTTGATCATATTCTGTCTTCCTCTCATCCTGCTGTGTCTTTCAGGCCCTTTTTGACTTGTCTTCAACCTTTCAGTTGAATGCTAAATAGAGAATTTTCTCTCCGGGGGCCTGAACCTGCTGACATGTCACTCAGCCTGACATTCCTAGTGCTCCCCGGGGTCGTCAGGATTGAGTTTCTATCTCTGCAGAGTGGAAGAAAGATGTTTGAATATCTGTCCATCCGTCCATCCAAGAAAAGTCCCCCTGGTTCCCATCAATCTGCTCAAGGCCTAGGGAAGTGTCAGCGCTGAGCAGCACACAGCTTCTTACCAGATCGCTTGTGGTGCGAAAAACTTGTGCGAGGGTCAAGGAACATTTGCACTAACTGGTATAACTGACAGTGGCAATGTGGTTGAAAGGATGAAAATACCTAAATGCCACCAGGAATAGCATTTGCTTCTACACGTAGACAAAAAAATTTCTCTAAAATGATCACATATCAGAGTGTGCTAGGTTTCCTTTAGTTTGTTGCTACCCCACTGGACCTGTCTGGACTAGACTGATGTCATTTTTTGACAAAAGGTACCACCATTAGCTAAGCTATTGTAGTCCATCTTATTAGTTTACTAGTCAACTGTTACTGGTAACACCCTAGTTACACAAGCTTAGAGACTAGTCAGCACCCCCCTGGCAACCACTTGTTGCTAGGTTGCTGGAATTGCTGTCAGATGCTAGGTAGAATTGGTTGCAAAGAGGTATACGATGCAGCAACAAAAATCTCCTTGCAGTTGCTTTGGTCATAGTTTGCATGGAAGTTTCCGACTTGGCTGCAAACACTCACCAACTAAACCAACTACTGTCTAGGTGGTAGTGAAACAGAGAAGGCTCCCTTTCAACTTCCAGGCATAAGCAGTGAAGCAAATCTTTTACTTTAAGAACAAACCTACTGTTGAACTCTTCACAGTTTTACTACCGCCCTGTATGTAGGTGTCTAACATTTCCATACAAGTTGTTGTCTGCCAGCCAACCAAAACAAAGGCACCTGCCATCCCCTGTGACGCCCAATCAGATGGCTGCCCCTCCCTGAGCCTGTTTCTGGCAAAGATTTCTTCCTGTTAAAAGGAAGTTTTTCTTTTCGACTGTCTCTTGCTCATAGGGGGGTTGTTTGATTGTTGGGGTTTTCTCTATAGGTTCTTTACCTGTTGTTGTGAATTGGCACTATGTAAATAAAATTAAATTGAATTAAACTGAACTGTGGCAATCTGCTAAAGGGCAAAGAGAACACAGTTTTTTTTTTGGTACACCAAGCTTTTTGCAACCAATTTCACTGAACAACCCCAAGCAACACACTCCCAATTCAATTTGGGAATGCACCTTTTTCCCTAGTGAATAGAAGTTGCCGGGGGATCACTGACTCGTCTTTAGCCCTGCAGGACTGGAGCCTAAACTTTCCATGTTCTTTTTTCTTTTTAAATTCAAAAGTATGAGACATGTAACATTATAGAAATTCTTTTAGATCCAAATAGTAAAACAACAAAGATGGGAAAAACAGGAAAAGATAAATAAAATAATGTCAAATCAGACTAAACAATGCAAAATAAAAGTACAACTCTTGGTCCTTTAGCTTAAATCTGACCTAAACGGCTTAATAAACTCAATCCATCGTTTACAACAGTATCTGCTTCAAGTTAATTTTCCCATTGCAGATACACCAGTTTCACATCAAACCAGTGTAATGTTGGTGGTTTTAGACAACATTGTTCCCAATAAACTTGCAAATATAGAAACGGATATAGAATCATAAAGATGTTAGAAAAAAGAATAAAGAGCTGGGGAAAGGCCATGACTTTACGTGTTCAGATGATATCCATTCACTTACAGCGGGTAGAATATTCTCTGTATATGACCACAGTTACAAACAACAAAAATACTCCTCAGTCTCTCGTTTTCTTTCCCTCTCCATACACAGAACTGATGAAGCTCCAATTTGCATTTTTAGCAGGTAGATAGCACTGTATTAATCAAGTGCAACAATTGTGCTGTTATGGAATAATTTTGAAATAATAATAGCTATGAATTTTTTTTAAATAGCTCAGCATAGTTAACTGACTGAAGCAGAGGAATAACTATTGCTCATTTTAAGCTCTTTTACTGTGCAAAATTGATCACAAGGCGAGTTCCACTTAAAAGTTTTGACATATTAAGCTTTCTTTTTGCGTTTGTTGCTGACAATCACTGGTTTTCTTGAACCCATAATCAGTTTTTTCCAGGAAATAAACCAGTATATTCTCTGTCTTTGTTCAGATTATCACCAGTCAGTGGTAAATCCTTGTAAACAACTGAGAGCAGAAATAAAAGCCATGTGCTAATCTTGTTATAGCGTAGACAGAGCATTCAAATTCTAAAAAGGAAAGAAAATGGAGGGACAAACCCAAGCCACATTAACTTACCATTTTCCCAGCAAGTTTCTTTAGTGGATTGCCACTTGCACTCTATCCAGCCATCTATTTTCTCAACTGCTTATCCAACTTAAAGTCTCAGGAGAGACTGAAGCCTTATCACAGCTGACACTAGGTGAGAGGCTGGATATAACGTGGACGTGTCTAACACATAGAGACAGACAGCCACTCACACTCACATCCACACCTGTGGACAATTTAGAATCACCAAATCACCTGGCATATTTATAATATGACAAGAAACTGGCCCCATGAGATCTAATACCAACTTTTTAGCTATGAATTTTACTTTAATGAGTTGACTTTGAATAACATGCATAGCACTCAAATGCATGAGTGGTTTAGCTGCTGTGAGGATCTAATTTGGGGAGAAACCAACCCTTAGACCTCAGATTTTATCTGCACCTCCTGAGGTCAGGCCGAGTATTTCTGAGAAGCTCGAGATATATTTATGCATTGCAATCCCAAACTGCTGGTTCGGTAAGGTTAGTCTAGAGCCTTCCCAAGCTCCTTACCTGCCTGCTTCAGCTGTCAGCCCATGTTGCTGACTAAAAGACTCCTGCCCTTTTACATGCACACAGGGAAAGTAAAGTCATTACTGCAGACAGACAGGGTGAGTGGGAGGAGACGTTACTGAAATAATCTCAACGGGCCAGGTTAACAAGTGCAGGATGTTTTGCTTCCAGGACGACATGTTTTGTGCATTATTGCTCATCTTTTAAAAATGCTATCGATTATTCAGTTTTCTCCTGGGATTACAGAATTTAAACTATTAAGCTGAGTCAGCTGGATGGTCTCTTTGAGCTAACCTGAATGTGGTCACAGTACAAAACACCTGATTCCCCGAGTGTCTGAAGCCTCTGTTGGACTCACCTCTCAGTTTGTAAGGTGACTTTGGATGGCTCTACGTTGGGGTTTTCCCACTCCATCTGCGGGCAGTGCATGAAGTAACACAGGGTATAGAGGGCTTCGGGCTCCCAGTGCACTGTGGTGTTGGCCTTCTGGTGGACCGGAGTCCCGTTGCTGGCATTCTTGATGTGCAGCGGCTGGAGGTGGTGCATGGCCCGGGAGACCAAATCACCTGGAGGGAATTTATGAATATATCAGTGGCAGCGTGGTGGGCGATGTAAAAATAACAAACTGTAATTTATCAAGGATGAAATAATAACACTGTGTACTACACTGATAAAAGTCTTACATATCATTCTGAGAGCAAAAACCCATTTCCTACTCCAACCCTCAGACACAAAAGTACTCACAATGACGCACTCCCTCATTCACACACCCTCTGATTCAGCCTACGTGTAGTCATACACATGTGCCCGCACAATCATGAGTGGGGAAATGACTTGACTGCCTTGAAATGAATCTTACAGACATCGGGTCTCTCTCAGTGAAAACACACTCAGACATGTGTGCTCTCACTCTCAGTCTGTCCTCGTTTTATCTGTAGCACTTATTTTTCTCCCATGTTTTCCTGGGTGATGATGCACAGAGTCACAGGGAAGCTGCAGGATCTGTGTCACTGAGCATATGTGTGTGCTAAATTTAAAATGAATGAGTACAGGGTTTTTTAAAACACTGTGAATGCCTTGTTATAAGGAACAGGGTTGAATGAGTGAATGTCAGATTGGTAGATGGGCTCTCGGTTTTGGCTGGACGAAGAGCTACAAGCCTTTTCTATATTTTTAAAATATAGACTTTAAATACATCTACACTTATTAAGTAAACCTAGTGAACTACTCGTTAACGTAAATCTCTGATCAGCCAATCAAAGGTATCTCGTTATGTAGACATAACCAAGACAACCTGATGAGGAAAGGTTATTCAAACTGGGATGTTCCCACACAACCATCTGTAGGGTTTACAGAGAATGGTCCAAAGAAGAAAACATCCAGCGAGCGGCGCTTCTCTGGGTGAAAATGTCTTGTTGATTTCAGGTCAAAGGAAAACGCCCAAACAGTTTCAAGCTGACAGGAAAGCTTGTCACAACCGAGGAACGTTGATGAAGATTCGAGACAAAGCGAGAAATATCAAGTTTCTGTTTTTTAACGCCAACATTTGTTTGATAGCTGCAGACTTTCACCTTCACATACAGAGGCTATTATAACCACGGCTTGTTTTTAAATAACAACACTGATAAACCATTTATGTTCACCAAAGTGTAAATTCTGTCTCATTTGTTGCTCGATGAACAAGCTATCATTAAAGACCTGTGATGCAGACAGGTTTGATGGATGTTTGACGTTCTTACTCCTCTCTCGATCTAGGCTATTCGATTGATTTTATTTTTCTCGAAAGCATGAAAGTATAGTATGCTATAAAATGAGCCTTTAGAGATGAGTCAACAGATTGGTGACTGTTTTTTAAGCCCTTTGTGATGCAAGCTCGAAGGGATTCGTATCTCCTCCTGGAATCAAACTGTGGATATTTGCTTGCTAGGCAAATGTTTAAAACACCACATTATGGAGCCACACGTAATAATAAACTGAAAAACACATGTATCCCCACAGTTAGCTAGCACTGCTGCTGGACTTCAGTTTATCTTGATGTCTCTATTAGTAACATAATGAGAGTTCAACTGTGTTGGCGGTAGCTCACATTATTTTCACAAAAGCCAATACATGACACATATTGAGAATCCAGTCACGGTTTCAGGATCACTGCAGTTTACCCTTTGATGCTTTTATCGGAGGAGTAAAGTGTAAATGAATACCCAAATGTCTTGAATAAAAAAAGGAATGAGAATATTTTGAGAGTAGTTTTTTACTGGCTTGAATGCAGATATATGGTTAATGATGTTCTCTACTTCTGTGTGCACAGCTGTCAGTGGGCACAACACCAGATGTGTTTGAATATCTGCAAATGTGGGCGATAACCAGAGGTCTGCGGGGCTGCAGCCCCAACTCATGTACCATCTTTCTAACGATCCTGAGGAGTTGCGCAAAAAAGCTTACAACTGAACAGCTGTGCGCATTAGAAACCATAACAGCTAGAGAGATTAAGTAAAATACTTTCTTTTTGAGGGCAGCATAGGGTACATTTTATACTAATTTTTTTTCTTCGTCATGAATGCGGTCCGTTCATTTTGGCGTGATCTCTTTCAAGCTGCGTCTGTGCACAGCAGGAACCAGGAGCAAAAGAGAGGCAGAAGAAATTTTACAGTTCTAATAGTTTTGAAGCACTGGAGGAGGTATGAATTTCAAATTCTGAAATTTGTGACGTGTGTTGCAGAAGCAGATATTTAGCACTGACATTTTGGAAGTCATCATTCTCTAATTTAGACGGCGTCGCAGCAGTTTATAGATGAGGTCGTTAGCGATGCATTTAAGAGTAACGATGCAGCTCTGAGAGGGAAAATACTGCAGTGTGAGCCTGAGGGGTTGATTTCTCAGATAAAAAATGATACTCGTATTGATCTAATTACATCTATTTACTCAGTTTACTGGAATACTGGAGGCTTCAGGTTTGTGGAGGAATATGGACGCTGAGGTAAGGTCGATGATGCACGTATATGTGTGAGAATTGGAAGCCCTGAGCTGCAGTATAATAGCAAACACATCGCCTTCTGATCTAGTTTGATTGTTTGTTCCAAAAATATCCAGTCTGAGTAAAGTTGCCCTGTCTTGAAATCTCATTCCTCAGACAGACTGACACGGTGAATCTGAGCCTAAGGTTCTCCATCTGTCAAACTAAAGGCCTCTGACAGAGTTCACAGGCAGCCAGACGAAAACAGAGCGCGCTGCTCACAGCACTGTTTACACTCAGGCCCCGGGGAGCCTCATAGACGGCCGAGAAAGAATTAAACACATCAATGAATAATTGAAAACGAGGCAAACACGCTCAGCTTCCGTGATTGTGTTCAAGTGGAGCGGTGCTATAAATCTCCCGTCTTGAGGTTAGACATGATGAGGTACGGTCATTTCTGAGGCAGCTTCTAAAGGAGCTGAGGAAAAGCTGTAGAAATCACAGTTTGACCTGCTGTCAGGCTGATGAATTTCAGGTTGCTCGATGGGTCAGCAAAACATCAGCCTTATACCACCGGTGGTTTCTTTTAACCATGACCACAATCCCAATCCTGCCAAGATGGACACTTACCAAACCCAGCAACTGAGTATTTTTAAGGAAGCCGCCCAAAGAACGAGAAGAAAAATAAGAAGGCTACTTCTACAGCTACTGCAGCTGTTATTACTACAATTTCAACTCCTATTTTCAAATTTGAATAATCCAGTTTCCAAGTGCTTTGATTCCGCAGGCATTCAGCAGTAATAATCAAAGTGGATTAGGGCCAATGGGAAAAAAAGTGGACATGTCTTTTTTTCTTCTTTTCCAGAATTCGGATTTAAAAAAAAAATTTGATTAAGTTCGGAATTCTGAGAAGAAAAAAAATCAGAATTCTGAGAAAAAGGAATTCTGACTTTAATCTCATAATTCTGACTTTTTTCTCAGCATTCTGGAAAAAATGTGCCAACTTTTTTTTTTCAGTGGCTGTGGATATCGGTAGTTAGCATAACAACAGCAATAGCTGCTGTGACTTCAGACACGCTCACAACAGTATGAGACAAGTTTCACTATCGTATGGGGGCGGCGACACTGAGGACTTGTGAACATTGGAAGTTTTATATGCAAAACTATATATTCAGCCATGTACTTTAAAAGTTACTGCAAGCTTCTATACCTGTTACTTTAAAAAATATAGCCTTTTGAGAACGGATTTTTTTTTTTTGATACACCTTGTAGTGCACAGGTAGTCCAGCTGGGTTTGGTCCAGTTCAGAAATGCTTTTGCAGTCAATGGATGCAGGAATTTTTGTAAGTGTTTTCTACCATTGAATAAATTTTCTACATACTGTGAGGTATGTAGGATGTTCACCCTTGGTAGAGATATGATCTTGGTATTTTATCTACTTATGCCTTTTACGATATATGGATCTATCATGCTGCAGGTGAAACTCTAGAAGAGGCAACACAATTAAGTCCAGTTACTGTTAACATTTTCTCGACTACTCTCCTGGAGCAAGTCTTCCAGTAGGTCAACTCCATGCTGTCAAGGTCAGCCAGCGATCTAGTGATTTGCATATTATAAATCTAAACAACCCAAATAAATCCCAAAGAGTATAAATATTAGAACAGAGGAAAAGTTAATTTCATTAGAAAACAACAGAACTGATGCTCTGGCCGACCTTAGCATGCTGAGTCACTGCCTGACCACCTGATGGTGACCTTATCTTGGTGCCAGTGGCTGGGGGCAGACACATCACCAGTACCTCCCCGCACCCTCCATTATTATTATGGGTCCAGACTGAGCAGTCATACACACTCATATAAAACACGGCATACACAGCACACACAACCACCTGTACACTGATGTTAGTGTTTACACCCGTATGATTGCTCTGTATCCATGTCTTGTCCTATTCTGTGCCCGGTCCTGTGATTCCAAAATAAAATGATACAAAAATAAAACTTAAAAGCTTCATTCTGGAAGATCCAGCTAACAGGTCCAACCAGTGGATGTTATAGGCAACTTGCTTGCCTTAAGGCAACAATTGTTGTGATTTGGCACTGTATAAATAAATAAATTGAATTGGATTTATTACTTTTTCTGGGCTTTTTACCTTCTCTTTGAGCCTTCTTTCTGCCGATTGGTCGCCCCTCACAAACAGACTTCATATTCATTGTGTAATATGAGCATCCACTCTTGCAACATTGTATATATACTGTATGAGAGGGGGAAAGGAATGGCATAACAAGGGCTTATTAAAAATAAACTACATATCTTATAAATAAGCACAAAAAACAGTCATTACTTGCAGCTACACAGAAACTCTAGCATTTTTTCTGAATGTGGTAATCATCAGTATTCAGATGCTGTTTACTGTATATTTGGATCGCAGTAGCGTTAAACTAGAACCTCAAGCAGGCGGAATAAAGTGAGCATAGAAAACCTTTCCACTCCAGGTCCCTAAGCTACTCTCCGTATGTTAACAAAGTGCGACACTGGCCTGAATATTAAGAGGAGAAGTCAGGCATTAATAAACATTAAAAAAGAGAAAACCGAGATGACTGAAGCATGCATTTA